AATACACACAAATGAAAACATTTTTATTTAAATGTATATATCGCAATTGCGCAAATGGATTATTCCAGTGATATTAATTATTTCCGATGGTGATACTTTATTTTCGTTTTGAGCCATTACGTTGCTTAAATGCATTTGAAATGTCCAATTATTTTACAAAGGCGCAAAGAAGCCCTTGATGGAATGTCAAATCCAGGTCATGACGGCAGGCAAATCCGTAATCCTCCGCCCCATAATCTCGGGCAATCAAATTCTGGATTGCAACGCATAACATAGCACATTACGGTGGCGCACAACAAGCCGAAACAAGGCGAGGTAAACATTAAGTCCTCATCTCTCGAAGGACTCCAACTCCTGCTCCTGCTGTCCAAAAACAAACTGTCGACACCTGCCATGAGTGATCACCGCTCGCGGCTCGCATTACAATGCAAATAAGGTGGTGAGGGGAGGGGGGGGTTGGAGCTCGGAGGTCGGAGGTCGGCGAGGGTTATTGCCCATATGGCCGCCGGAGTTGGCAACTCGTAACCCACTCGACGGAGCGAAATACGGCAAACACATTTAGCCCGTAATGGACTTTTTTTTTATGGCATTTATAAGCGCGCGCCAAACAACGTTTCCCTGGGAGACAGACACACAGACAGACAGACAGACAGACTTTTGCCCGTTGAGAAGGTAATGCCGGCAAGTGGCTCGACTCGAAATAAAAGATCGAAATAAATTAAACTAGCATTGAGGGGCCCGAACTACGGAAACGCGTGCTCACCTCTATGAAATATTTAAGCACAATCAACCGACAGCCATAGAGAAAACGCACTTCCGCTGAATATTTGAGCGATTTTCCCTCGCATGCCGATTTTAAAGAGTCCATGCTGGCTGATTTTCTAAGTTTGGAGCCCATGCCAGTAGATTTTTCGAGTTTAGGGCTCCTGCTATTAGATTTCGAGTTTTTAAGACTTTGTTCAGTGGAATTGCTTTTATTGAACACATAACTAACATAGATTTTTAATAGCTTTTCCCCTTGCTAGTAGCCTCTCTAAGTAATTATAAATATATTTATGCGTTATTGAAACTAAGATTTTATAAAACTATCTTTTTTATTTTAGAGGAAATGTTTATTAGTTCTGGCTTCCAGATTTCTCTCCTTCTAAAACGTATATTAAACTTCCAAGGGCTGTGTATTTCCTTTGGTTGTTTATTTATTTATTAATGTACAATATATATATTTATATTATATTAAATCATCTCCTTTAAAATCAAATTATAAATGCTGGAGTAAGGGATACAAATAGGTATCATTTCAATAGGTATCATGTTGTGTCATCAGGTTTTATCATTGCATCACGGCAAAATAATATGAAAACAAGAAAGGAAAGCTAACTTCGGGCGGAGCCGAAGTTGATATACCCTTGCAGAATATTTTATAAATTATATTGTCCAAAATTATTCATATGATGTATTCTTAATACTCATAAAATGTCCCAACTTCCTAACTTTAAAAACACCAAAGTTATGTCATTTCCAATCGTTCAGTTATATGGCAGCTATAAGATATAGTCGGCCGATCCTTATGAAATTTGGTAGGTCGGATTGATTAGCCAAAAATAAAACCCATAGAAAATCCCAACTTCCTAACTTTAAAAACACCAAAGTTATGGCTTTTCCGATCAATCAGTTATATGGCGGCTATAGGATATAGTCGTCCGATCCTTATGAAATTTGGTAGGTCGGATTGATTAGCCAAAAATAAAACCCATAGAAAATCCCAACTTCCTAACTTTAAAAACACCAAAGTTATGGCTTCTCCGATCGTTCAGTTATATGGCAGCTATATGATATAGTGGCCCGATCCGGCTCGTTCCGACTTATATACTACCTGCAATAGAAATACAACTTTTGGGAAAGTTTCAAGCAGATAGCTTTAAAACTGAGGGACTAGTTTGCGTAGAAACGGACGGACAGACGGACAGACGGACGGACAGACGGACATGGCTAGATCGACTCTCCTGGTGATGCTGATCAAGAATATATATACTTTATAGGGTCGGAAATGTCTCCTTCACTGCGTTGCAAACTTTTGACTGAAATTATAATACCCTCTGCAAGGGTATAAAAACTATATATTTATCGATTCGTCCCGATTACAGATTAAACTATTTCCGGAACTTTTAAATGCACATGTGTATCTTCGAATAAAGCATCACCTGTACATTCCTATATCTTTTAAATTTTCATTAATATTCCATTCCTAGGAGTAGCCATACTCCGCAGTCAATAGCTCACAACGGCAAGGTTTTCTCTAAGGTTCAGGTTCATGTTCCTTTTTATGCCCACACAGCGAAAGATTCAATCGAAAACATTTTGTCAAAGACAATTTTAAGTCTTTTAAGGACATAATGATGTCCGATGAACAAAAATATTAGAAATTAACTAATATTTTCAGTGCTATGAACAGCCTAATTTTAGCTTTAGCCTAAGTGCCTTCATCGTATAAACACCAAATGGTTATAAACGCTACCTATTAACTTGACCAGTTAATACTTCTTACAAAATGGTTTCAAATATAGTTGGAAAGCCAAACAATAGTAGAAATTTTCATATTTGTATTATATATGAATATATTTCTGTTTGATAAATATACAACTCAAGTGTATATTCATGCAAAAAATCACAAGGTACCAAATCAAGAAATAATTGTATCAATAAGATACCCAAAAGTATCACTTAGATGGAAAACTTGTTGCCGTTTCTAGTTGACAACTATATTTGGTAGTTTTTTTCGCCGTGCAAAGTATCTTTCGTGGTGGATCCAATAAAATGTGCGAAAAAGTTGATGCGCGGCTCGCGATTGCCATTTATTTTTATTGCCGCACTTACCTGCTACTTAGCGCCTCCCGCCTTCTGGAGCACGTGGGCGTGGCCGTTCGGCGACACAGAAAACTTTTGAGTTTGAGTTTGAGTTTGAGTTTGAGTTTTTGACTTTTGCTCCTCGGTGCGTTGCCTCCTGTATTGTGTGTGGGTAAGTGTGTGTGGGTGAGTGGGTGTGCGGGTGTGCGACTGGCACTTTAATCAGCAATGCCAGCTGCTTCTTCGCCGCTTTTCCAGCTTTTCCCCTGTTGTTCCCTGTCTTCACCGGATTTTCTTGCCTTTCCCCCGCTTTCCCTGGTTTCCCTGCCTTTACCGCTTTCCCTGCTTTCACCGCTATCACCCACTTTCACCCACTTTCACCCCCTTTCCCCCGATTTCCACCGCTTTCCCCCCGAGCAGAGTGGACCGAAAGGGGAGCAGGTGTCGCGGGCTGTTGCTGCTCGGCCAGGAATGCGAATGCGAAAGGAAATTCGCACATAACACTTCCCGGGGGCCATAAAGTCGCGCATATTTATAAGCCGCGCCTGTCTCTCCCCCTTGATTTCCATCTAGGCGCTACTTTACTCAAGCTTTTATGACCAGTATATGTACATCATGGCCATGTATGGATTGTATCGGGCACCCCGGCCATTTTCACTCCATTGACATCTTGCAACCTTCTAGTCAGCAAAGAGATCTTCGGATACGTCAGCTGCGCCGCATTTGTTTCGCATTTCGCATTTGGCGTTTTATTGCGCCAAATTGAACGCGGACTTTATTGCCGACTGGATTTTTTAGCATAAACAGAATTTATGCATATACAATATACATACGCGAAACAAAAAATTGCCAAAAGACGTGACAAACTCTCCGGCGAATCGATGGGCCAGGGAATGTAGAGCCGGGACCCAGGAGCAAAAGTTTTTAATTTGCTTAGACGCGACCAAAAAAAAAAAAAAAAAAAGAGGAAAAAAAAAACTTTGCTAGAAGCGCGCTCCTGGGAGATTCGAGCTGAGGCTATAGCCCTCGCAGCTTAAACCAGATTAAATTATCGCATTTTCCTTATATTTTTATTCCGTCCTGCTGCTGTGCCATCGTTGATTCGATTTTTGCTAACCAAAAAAGAAAGCAACAACCCAATGGAACGGCAAAAAATAAAACACAAAAATGAAAGCAAGCAAGTCCGTAGGCAGGCGAGAAAAGTTCGAATAAATTGACTGAAAGTTCGCATTCGCATTCGCATTCGCCTTAAACATTTTGCTTTCTTTTTTTAGGCGACGGCACATGGAATCAACTTGAAATTTTTGCTCCCCATTGGCTCAGGTGTGGATGGCTTTCATTTTTCCCTTGCAGGCTCTGGAAAATTCTTCAAATAAGTTTTCCACGCTGGCAGCTTACAAAAATGTGAAGCATATTTATTAGTGTCGACAGAAATTTTCTTTGTTTGCCAGTTGCAGATCGCAGATCAAACTCGGACTTCTTCTGGCGCTTTATTTAAATTTTTAATTTTTCGGGCACTTTTCGAAGTAAAGAATATTGCCTTAATATTTGAGGCGTATTTTGATGGTTGCAAGATTTAAATGAAATACTAACGTTATGAATTTATTCAAATATTGATGGTTGCCTTTGCACTTCTAAGAAAAAATCGGTTTTCTAAACATTTATAACCACGCATCTTTGAAATAGAACACAAATCTCTTACGATTTTAAATCTATAGTTGATCAGAACAAATTATTTTTACAATTTTTTATAAAACACACGATTTCTAGACATTTAAAATCACTAAATATTTTGTGGCTGGCAATGATTTATTTTTAAAAATAAATAAACATTCATGTTGTTAAATTTTCGTTTTTATTTTTGTATATTTTTTTTGAGATAGCAAGCTCTCTACAAAATATTTCCACAATTAGTTCTCAGCCAGCAAGCTTAGAAGTGATTTTTTGCAGCCACAGCAACTTTAAAATAACGAAAATGTGGTTTTATAGTTTTTTCCTTTTTGGCGCATTTTAAAAATATTTTGTTTTCAATTGGGTTAGGCCTGGCAGCAACAGCCTCGAGACCTTAAAAGGCATATTCTCGCACACACAAATTCATTGACACACCGGACACACACACACACACACATACACACACACACAGGCAGGACACTTACGTTTTGAGTTATTGGGGCAGGCCCAAATAGGTATGCTAAGGTATTGCAACTGCAATCAACTGGAAATCACTTTTCCGCCTGGCAGCTGGCTGTTGGCGTCTCACTTTTCATTGTTTACGTTTCACTTGTGATTTCCCGCTGCACCTCTTTGTTTTTCTTCTTGTTTTTGTTGTCAATTGAAAAACCGAAAAAAATATAAAGCAGGCCACTCACACACACTCAACCGAAAAAACAACAAACAACAGATGCAATTGGCGGCGGCACGCGTTTCGCGACGCGACGCGTTTTGAATTACGCGGGGCGGGGGGTGCACGGTTCGTAGAGGGGAGGGGCGGGGACTGCGGGACGTACTGGCGGATCGAAGGGGGGTGGGGGTTGGCGGTACAGGACGTGGAGTGAGGACGAGCCAGCCACAATTGCAATGGTGATCGATCGCGACCGCTGCGTGTAGCCGCCTTGTATATTGGCCCACTAACAGCGAAATTCGAGTTCGAGTTTGAGGCAATGCGATGCGATGCGATGCGAGGCGAAGCGATCCGAATGGAATCGAATCGAATCGAGTGAAATCCAGTGATTATCCGTCCTCAGTCGCGTGGCACAAACCGCTGCGTTCGATAACCTAAACGAAACTGAATCGCCGAGCACTCGATTCTCGAAACTCGGCCAACGATTCGTGCGGCTTCGCCTGTGGCTCGGCACTCGAGTTCCACAGGCACTCGCCGATGCAGACTCTTACCTTTTGGCAGGATGCACGAAGGACACGCCGCTCGGCATTCGAGGCCGCCCCACTTCCGCTGCCCGCCCCTCCCCCCGCGATTTAACCCCACTTCGGCCCCACTTCCGGGCGATGCGCAGGCGTGAAGTGGCGGTTGTGGATCGCGACTGTGGATGCCATTCGCATGGGAGATGAGCAAAGGTTCGATAAACGCGGGGGTTAAAGAAGTTAAAGGGGTTAAACCACCACTTTAAGGGGAGACACATCCCTTTTTTTATGAATTTGTTCAAAACAAGATATTGTGGTTGGTTTATGAAACTTGTCCAATGATACGATAAGCTTAAGATAAGAAGCCTAAAGCATATTCAAGATTACACTTCAATGGACCTTGTGGTATAAAACTTGTTTACTTACTCACAGCTAAGCAAACCATTTCCAATTGCCTTTACAAACCTATTAGTTGGGAGGAATTTCTGCTCTGCTCCCAACAGTTACAAATATGCTTTTCAAATAACGTTCCTTTAAAAGTGAACAGAACTGTGGACCTAAAACAGTTTAGTAGTAATAATAAGTTTATTGAATATTGAACATTTTTTTTATTAACATATTATTTATTTTTTCTTAAAAAAAATATTTACATTTTTTTGTAGTAAAGTGATTACAATTTTTTTGAACATAAGTTGAAAAATAAGTTTTAAGAACTGTCTTTTAAGAGCAAATACAAATACAAGTCGTGAAGAAAGTCAGAAAATTTGTTGATTTATGGAAAAAACGAGTTAAGTCTATCAATAATTAGTATTTTAATTAGTTAGTAGTTAAAAGGTTCTTTTAAGAACATCAATCATTGTAAATGGAACTTTCTACAAAATTGTGGTATAATTTTATTTATTCTAACGTTATTATTGTTTTCTAAAAAAAAATAATTATTAAAATCAAAATTTAAATTTGAAGTATAATTTTAATACTTTTAATTTTTTTTAATTATTCATTCTAATAAACTGCATAGAGCAGCAACCAATAAAAGGCCGCTAATTATAGTTCACAGATCCGCCTTTTTCTACGGTCCTCAATTTACATGGGTTCGCCCACTGGTTATCGAAGGGGAGGGGCATCGCTGGCGGAGCTCCTTGTGGACTCCATTGAGGTCCTGCAGCTCGTGTGGAGCCTCCGAGCGACAGTCGCGGCCGAAAGGCTAGCAGCGCTGCAACTGCACGTGAGGCACGAAGGAGTCCTGCGCCGTCGACAAAAACACGATGCCTTCCAGACCAGGTCGCCGCTGCTGCCGCTGCTGCTGTTGCTGCTGCTGATGCTCCTCATGTTGCATGTACTCCGACTGCCGAAGCTGCCGCCGGACAAGTTCAAGGGAATTTCGCGCGACAAATAAATTACACACGCACCGCCAGCTAGTGCATGCAAATTAAGATGGCATTCCCTCAACTTCAGCTTCAGATACCCGAGCCATTCGAACTCGGCCAGTGTGTCACTCCGCCTCCAGATCCCATTACAGCCCTCCTTTAGACAGAGGGAAAAACCCTTTTTACCACATCTTGTCACCTCAATATGAAAAGAATCATTTCATCATAATACGATGTTTTGTATTGATTCACTTATTTACGAATAATGGTCTAAGTAGAAATACGGATTTTATAGTTTTTTATAGTTTTTATTTTCATTACACTAAAGTGTTATGTTTTTTTTTGTTATTAACAAATATTTTAATTGACCCTAGGATTTCAGTAGATTTATTTTTATTCTATTCTTCACGGTTTTTCCACGTTCTTAAACGGTGCTCACAATTGTATCAAATACAAATTCTTACTCGAAATAAAACATAGAACCCCTTGTATTTGGTAGCAATAAAATTTGAACATTGTCATCTTACAGAGGATTTCTATATAATTCATAATTCCTCATATTCAAAATTGGAAGTGCAAACTTTATTTCCCCTGTTACGAAAAGCTTATGTAAAAATACCATTTTATAATATATGTTTGATCTTTTTGCTGTTTTAATTCAGTCACAATACTTAAATAAAATTTTATAATATATGTTTGGTCTTTTTGCTGTTTTAATTCAGTCACAATAACTAAATGGTCATTAGGTGTAAAGAAACAATAGAGTTGTTATTCGGTTTAAATAGGATAACATGCAGTCGCATCGCCAGTGTAAAGTTATTTTTTAATGAAAAGTTCCCAATGGACTGCCAATACACAGTCTAGGCGATAAGTTTTTCTCGGTGCATCGCTTTCCAGTTGTTTTCCCTGCGCGTTGCACTTTGCTGACTTTGCTTTACTTTTGCTCTGACCTGCCACTCGGATTCCAATTCCTTGGTTGGTGCGGCGGGCAAATCTCTTATGGCTGCTCACTTGAACGGGTTTCCTTGTTGTTGCTGTTGCTGTTGCTAGTTGCTGTTGTTGCTGCTGCTGCTGTTGTTGCTGCTGCTGCTGCTGTTGTTGCTGCTGCTGCTGGCAGTCCTAAGCCCTTTGCACTCACTTCGCTCGGTTCGCGCATCGTCGAGCAGCATCAAGTTGATTTCGACCACCCACTCAGCCCCGCCGCCGAAAGTTGTCATTAAAAAATTGCACTCAGCCAGCCAAAAAGCGCTGCAACTCTGTTGCATGCAGGTGGGGCAATGCGATGAAAGTTGCGGGCTGGGGCTGGTTGCTCGTTGCTCGTTGCTGGTTGAGGGAATGCGGCATAAAAGGTGCAGCAACATCAAGGCTGCCTCCGAGAAAACTTTCTGCATTGCAACGAATTCATTCACCTCCTCTGTCTTGTGTCGTTGGGTGGGAGAGGGGGGAAATATGGGCTGCGTCCTTTCTGCTCTTCGAACTGACAGTCGAATCGCACCAGTCCCCTCTATGAGCCATTAAGGTCTCATTTAAATCAAGAGCAGTCTGCTAAGCGTCCAGGCCATCAAGTGTATTATGGTTTCGCCTACGTATTCCTCATACCCATTTTTCGTTTGCCCTTTTTACGGATGGCTGATATGTATGATATGTACGAACGCATGAGCCACACATGTCCATGAACTTTTGTATCCCCTGCGGAATCTGTTCTTCAATAAGCAAAATACTTGTATTCCGGGGCTTTCACCAAAATGAAAACATTAATTTTAAAATATCTGCATGCATAGGCTGCACTTGTCCCTGAACTTTTGTATCCCCATGGAATCTATTTTTCAATAAACAAAATTACTATTCATGCTAAGGAAAGTGAATGCGGTAAAGGACAGTATCGATCTAATATATTTTTGTAACAGATTTTCTTCGCACTTGGAAAAGCAAATCTCTTTGGCACCAGGCTATCCAACAAAAATAGCCTTAGCCAAAAGTTTGTAATCGTAATAATCATGTTTAAATTTTACAAACTTATATAAAATATTTTAGCATAAATTAATTAACAAGCTTTTGTTCATCATCATTCAATTTTGAAATTGAAATTACAAAAATATCCGGCCAACTCTTCAAATACATTTATTTAGATGTACTCTATATCTATCCGAGTATTTTTCGGAAATATTCTAAAAGAGTTATGCATTTGAATTTATTCCTTTACCTTTAAGCAAAGGCAAAAGCTCATAAAAGCCAGCCAATAATATGGAATCAGCTTAAAAGGTCAAACAATTATAAATGTGTAATTTACTACTCAATGGTATCGACTTCATCTGCGGGTTAAGTGTATCCCAGGATCGCCGCCACTGTCTTTCGCTACCCCTTCCTTGGACTCGCCTTTTGTCCTGTTGCTGGTTGTTGCTCATCCGCCGAGCGTGGCTCCTGCCGCCATTATCCTGGCAGCCTCCTTTGTTTTAGTGCAACTGCCACGAAATGCAACTACGTGGAGGGCCAAGACGAAGACGCGGCATTGTCAGTGCAGACGTTCACCTGAACGCCTCCTGTTCTCCTGAGGGTCCTTTTGCCCTCCTTTCCCCCTTTTCCCCGATTCCCGATCCCGGCGTCACAACTCCCGCATCTGCAACATCTTCGTTTCGTCTCACTGCCGGTGTTTTCTCATACACGGAACAAAAATTTCAGACAAAAGTTGCCTACAAATTTATAAAAGGCCACAATGCATTGAAACTTTCGAATAAATTGAAACCTAAACGCTTACATTTCCGTAAAAGAATAAGGTTCGACCCATTTTTTTAATAGCTAAGAAATAAGTTAAGTTCAGCTATAAGTTAAAAAGTTAAGTTGAAGTTTAATAACAAACGTTAAAAGCAATGGTTGTATATTAAACAATTTGGAAATAGAAAATTATTGTAAGCACAATTTTTGAAATAGAAGATAAAATAGAAAATAATCATTTGCAGCGTCAATATTTTAGAATTATCAAGATTTTATCTTTTCATATTAAATGTATATTCCTTGTTTCTGCATAGGCAACTTTTTCTACAAAAACTGCATTCTTGTTGAATAAATAGGTTCATATTATTTATTTATTTTTTGGACATGCTAATTTATTAGGATTTTTTACTATTTATGTTAGGAGCGACTCCCAAAATTGTGCAAAATTTATTCTAACTTAAATACGAATTTAATCGGAAGTCTTATTTATGTTTCTCTCAGTGT